AAACAATTAATTAGCCTGATGAAAATGAAAGGTCTAATTACTCAGTATTATGATCATTGGCAGCCAGGCGTGACCAAGAAATAGGCACTGTCCTACCAGCGATAAAGCTCTACTTTCTGGCTTTCCAGGCTTTCTTGACTTACAAATATCCAGCCAAAAACATTTTTTAGGGGAATGATGATGTAATTCTCCCCTCCACATGCTAAGAAACCGGCAGTGTTTTAAGACATCTGAATGAGCTGTCMTATAACAAAAAAAAAGATACCCAGCTGGTGTGAAATGACCTGTCTGAACGCAAGAGAACAGAGCTGTAACGCATCCGAGTTGACGGGTGTGGGGTTTTTGCGCTGTGTCTCCTGCTGCAGACCTGACTCTCAGGCCGAGAGTGCTGCAACACTGAAGTTAATTTTAGCTGTGTTCTGCACAAAAGTTAAGTTACCATCACCATGAAAGCAGTTCCCTCTTTGGTGATCTGCTGTTATCCAAACACAGGAATGCTTCGGATTTACGTGGAGGAATTTGTTTGCTGTGGTTAGGGCCATGAAGAGTCAGACTGACAAGCACAAGGAAGCACAAGGAAGGGAAGGAGCATCGTTCCTGCAGAGCCCGGAGAGGGGATCGAAAGCAGATGCTGACTGCACCCTGACCCAGCCTGAGCAGCACGGCCCGTCCTCCTCCTTTCAGCTGTGATACTCACAGGAAACCTCCCTACAGGGGAAGACTCAGCCTGAATTCTCCTATTTTTCTTTCACAGAGACAGGCAACTGATGACCATTGCTTAAAAACAGTGCGGAGAAGCCCATACAGAAACAATTCATACCGCCCAACTGCAGGAATCACAGGGGAAATACAGCCTAGGGGTAAGCCAGTGCTGAGGAAGGTTCCGAGCAGAATTTAGGACTTGGAATTGGCAGCAAAGTGCCCAGGAAGCCAAGTGTGTCACCTGAACGAGCGGGATCTTCCCCTCTCTCCTACACTGTGTGCAGAGCATTGCACAGCACTCCAGGGGTTATTCCCTCCCTGTGTAATTAGCAAAGTGCTGGGYAGCAAGAGCAAGGGCAGGGCTTGGCCTGTGTTCCCTCCAGCCCCAGGGATGCAGGGAGAGCAGCCCCCAGGCAACAGCTCACTGGCAGAACAGCAACAAGGACTCGCTCCCTGGAAGGTCCCATACTCCAAACTTGCACTGTGCTAACCAGGTGCTGCCTTTCCAGAGATACRTGACAAATATCCTGGATTTTGAGGGGAGTAAAAGAGCAGATTAAAACACGGAATAGTATGATCATGTAAGAAAAAAAGGAAAAAAAAGASGTAAGAACAGAAAATAGAGACTGGGAGCTGAGGGCTGCTGTGCTGCATAACCTATGTCTTATTGCACAAGCGAAATGAGGAATGCATGAGCCTGACTGAAACTATTTTGGGCTTGTAACCATGTTTTTTATGCTGGTAAGAATCGTTACAGATGCTGCTGAGGACTTGGAGACATTAAAATGACAAACCCCAAGATGTCACAGYGGGAGAGCTGTCTCAGGCAGCTCAGTGTCCCAGCAGCTTTTATCACAGTGACTAAGAACATTCTGCTTATTTGAATGCAGCTGCTATTTAACCTTGGACAGACTGCTACTCATCGACCCTGGTTGACAAAAAAATACCATCCCCAAAATACACCCTAAAAAACCCAAGGAGTTTGTTTTTAATTTATTATGCAAATCTACCAACTCATTTTATGAAAGTATGAAATCCTATGTGGTTACATTAAACAGTTACAATACATCCATATAATACAAACGACAACTACAAAGTTAATTTTAGATACTCTCTTGAATAACAAGTAGACTTTGCATTATTTAAAAAAATGTTAAAAAGAAAAGATAAAACAGCCTTGTGATTGTCAAAGACTTCAGTTTAAACCAAGGAAACCTCTGTGCAACCTTCTTGTCCTACAAAATGTTAGGGAGAAACAATGACACTTGCATAATTGTTCCGTGTTAATTTTCAATTAGTTGCATCAAACAAGAGTAAGCGCACATACCTATTCAAGAGCAGTTCACAAAAATTGTTTAGAAATCAGTGTCAGGTTTCATTCTCTGGAAACTACATTTACTATATAACATCATCATCATCATCTTTGCTTTCGGATGCATAAAAATTCTGTAATACCGTTTGTAAAATACACCAGAGCTTCAAGTCTGCTCTAATTGAATTCAGTGGGAGTAGGATCGGTTCCTACATTTAATAAGTACTACTGATTTACTGAAATCTTTACAAAACAGCCTCCTTCCCTGGAATGAAATTAATTTAGCGAACAAAATAGTACATTAATTCAGTGAAATTTGTAGTTGTACTGTTCAGTAGTCGATAGAGCAACTGCATTTTTGAGGATCTTTATGCATGACCATTCTTTCCTCTCCAAAAGAAGAAAACTAGACACACACAGACAGAGTAACTGTGCTTAGACGGAGTTAGAACTCAGAGCTGTATGCACAGTCTAAAAAATTAAAGAACAGATTGGATTTCTCCAGAAACTGTCCTCCTGACACGCATCTGACAACCTCCAGTGTCATTTTGCTGCAAGTTAGCTGCCGTTTCTGATGAGACACCTGCCAATCTCTATTGCATAAYGGCTCCTCAGGAAGCCTTTGAAAGGAGCTTTGATGTTGTAGCTGCATCTTTAAATTGCATATGTCGTATGGGGGCAAAACATCAACGAAGCTGCTGCCACATCCAAGGTGACAGTTTCCCAGAAGCCAGGACAGCTGTGTAGGGGGAAAAAAAGGCATTTGCAGGTATAATCCTGACGGCCTATGGTGCAAAGAGACCACAACAGGTTCATCTGCTGCAGCCTTTATCCCTCTGAACTAGGACGCTCACAAGGACAAAATGCCCCCAAATACYAGCCTCGTGCAACAAACGTGCACAGGTGAGGCCAGCAGCATCTCAGCAGAGCTTCTAGGAGAAACAGCCATTTATCCACAAGAGTATCTTTGAACACTGAACATCCAAAAAATAAAACGCGAAGACACCCAAAGGGTAACACAGAAGCACACACGCGTTTGAGCCGGACATAAAGTGCCATCGAACTGGGGAGGTTTAAAAGGAAGTGATGGTCAAGGGCAGCATCCAGTGTGTCTACAGCAGGAGGTATCCCGTGTAGCAGGTAGCACTGCCCATGTCTTGGAAAGGGTACCAAGCTGTCAGAGCCTGGCTAGCACCAAGGCTAGCAATTCCTCTCTTAACACAACAGCTCTTACCAGACACGCTAGAATTGAGTAGACTCATTTACTGGTAGCTGCCTACAGAGCCTTTCCAAAAGGCATTTTAAAATGGCAATGGATGCCTCAGCTTCCTCTTCTCTGAAATGATAAATACAATTTGTCCAGGCCCTTCATTACACGGACGCATCGTCACTGAGGGCCCCACCCCGTTATTACCACTATGCCTCGTTTGCCATCTCTACTCATGTAATGTCAAGTCTTCTCAAGAATCTTAAGCAGCCTTCCAGAATCACTTGTTCAACTGACATTTTTGTAATAATAAGGAAAAGAAAAAAGAGTTGTGGGAAATTAAATGGTTCTCCTGTTGCCAAGTTGTTAAAATTATATGGCAATATGCTTCCAGTAGTTGTACAAAATTAATTTGTGGAGTGCTTACAAGCCTTACATCCACTAAATCTCAACAGGATATAAAATGCTATTTAAGTGATGCAACTTATAAATGCCAAGGAGAAAAAAAATCAGCACCAAAGAGTCAAAGAGGAGACCAGGTTCTTTTCTGCACTGATTCTTYGAGGCCGGATCTCTAGAGCTGGGAACCTGCATGGAGAGTCCCGGGTGAAGGACACAGGGGTGAGYGTCAGCACCTGCACCGCTCCTCTTGGATGCGCACGAGGGAGTGTTCAGAGCTGCTCTGCTCCTGGAAAACTGGCYTGCAAAGAGCACAAGGGGCTCAGGCAGGGGCTTAGGCCCTCTCTCTTCCACTGCTTTCGGAGAGTACTAGCCAGAGTTAAGTGAGTGTCATTACTCTTCCTCTCTTTTACTATTTCTTTCAGAAAAGAATCGCCTGAGATTTCTAATCTGTAGAATAATTAATGCATTTTTAAACCTTGCCACCACTTCGCCACTGTGTCGTTCCTTTCTCAGAACGATGTAAAATACAACACGATACTTTGGGTTTACAACAGTGCATGAAATCAGCAGTCAAAAGATAGGCAGGATCAGCAACACTGACTTACTCCTCCATTCCGAAAGACAGAACCAGGGTAAGGCGCTTTGGCAATCAGCACCAGGTTTAAGTAACAACCTTTGCAACAACAATTGCTTCCTACACACTACAGTATACACAGGTTTTCCGCAGCTGTGTGGAAAACCAAGACCCCCTGGTTGCTCTCTGAGCTGCTTTGAAACTACAGTTCATTTAATTCTGCAGCAGATCCTGATACTATTCTTTTTCTGAGCACAGTATATTTTGATAACAACACAGAAGTACACTACACAAAAAGGATTTGTTCAAACTCACCACRGTTCTGACAGGCTACACGCATCAAGAGGCAATTCAGAAGGAGCACACAACTCAATTCACCACAACAACGTTAACCGAAAGGAATTCAGCTTTCACTTTGYGAAGGAACAAAGTCCTCACAAAGGCAAAGATCTTATTGCAAGTTGTTTTGCTCAGTTTGGCCACTTCTAATGCAGTACGAGAAGCTACCAAGGAGCTGAGGACAAACAATTCCTGTTTTGTAAATATTTTTTAGCATACTATGCTCGTTGTTAAAAAAAAAAAGCCACTGCACAATATTCCAAATGACCTTAAGAGACTTGAAATTATCAGATGAACACTGAGAAAGAGTGATGGAAAATACAAATTTCAGTAGTAGTTCTGGCACCTGGTATTTTGGAAAATTCTTGTGCATATGGGACTGAGGCAGCTTGTTTTTTTTTTTTGCAGATCTCTTCCCTGCAGGATGCTAGAATCACCTGCACTTCTTTGAGCACAGTGCATCCCTGCACTCAGCAGGTGCCTTCCTCAGGAGGAGCAAACTGGCCGCTGTCRTGAGAGACTGTGTCAATGCTCTGCACTTCGGACTGTGGGTGAATGGACACCTGAACCGCTATCTCTTGGCCTTGCTCATTCATGGATCCATCATCTGAATCCCCAGYGGGGGAATCACTCCGCTTGATCTCCGGGTTGACGGGATACAGGGCAGCTTGGGCACCACAGGCTTGGGTTTGTTTCCCCTCCTCGCCAACTTCGTCAGGATCATCGACTCGCACCGCCTCAAAGATCTCTTCCATGAAAGCCCTGCAGTTCAGGATCAGTGGTGGAAGGGGAATACTTCTGGCAAGCTCTTCAATGTAGCGGGCAAACTCCATGGTCTTAAACTGAGTGACTTTGGCCAACTCTAGCGTTTTGGCAGACGTAATGATGGGAATACGCTTGGCTATCTCAAAAGCCTTCTGAAGCTTCTCAGCTCCCTCCGTCCTGAAGAAGTCATTAATGGCCTTCTCGGTTTTGCGGAGGTGGCTGCTCATCATGCACAGACGGGTGATGTTTAAGATGAGGGTGATGGCGAAGGCAACGAGGCATACAATCATGTAGTAGATACTCATGTCTCCCGAGGTGAAGATAACCCTCAGGGTGACTGTGTAAAACAAGGTGTCGTTACGATTAACAGCTGCACACGTGTAGCGCCCCCGGTCAGCAAAGTTGACCCTTGAGATGTTAAGGGAATTGTCAGCAATCCACCACCGGCCACCTAGAGAGTTAGAAGAAATAAACTGAGCTAAAAAAAMCCCAAATAACTAGGGAAACAGGTTGCATGGCATTTTTTCCGTCACTGCCAAGGAGAACTGGAAAGTAAGCAGTCCATTTCTAGGACAAAGCAGTACACACAATGGCAGAATTTTCCTTTTCATGCTTACAGTACAGAAATGTACAACTTAGATAACGATCCTACTGCTTTAGGTAAAGATTTCTGTGCACTTGCTACTTTGCTTATTTTGCTTTGTATCACCTACGCTTTTCTTGTGAGTCTCTTGTTTTCGACCACTAGTTGTTCCGACAGGAAATCTAACTCATAGCTACTATGTTCATCCACTGTGGGAATCTTTATAATGAAGTGTGATTTTCCATATGTTCTGATGCAGGAAGTGACCCATGAGAAGAAAAATCTATAAATGGCTCAGCTGCCTTGAAGTTTCTTGAGATACAGCTTTCTGCTGGCCATACAGTGCTGATATACAAAACTCATGTAAAAAGAAATCAATACAAGAAGCTGGTTTCATTATCTCCTATGTATTTATAACTTTGGAGAGCAATTGTTTTCACAGCCTGCACTTCTAGTTACTTTGAAYTGAATTCCAAATGGTATTTTATGTATAGAAAGTTTACTGAATATTCTTTAAGCAGTAAGAAGRGCTCCTGAGAAGATACTACCAGTTAGCTCAATGAGTTCATTAATACTGATACAGTAAAGACTACTCTATGAAACCTCTGAAAAATGTTATTTTCTGAAAATTAAAAACTAGATGGACACAGTGGCACTATGGCATTAGTACATAAACCGGGAAATAAAGGGAATCAAGCCACTTCATGCTTTTAAAAATTCTTCAGTTAGAGCAGTAACTGAAAGACAGAAAAGGACACRAGTTGTGGAGAACTGTGTTTAACATTTGTGCTTGGAAAGATAAAATAYTAATGAGAGCAATAATAAATAAAAACACGAACTAGTGTCTGATAGGACGTAGATTCAGTTGGTCTGTATTGAATAACATGATTTTTCTTTAATAAAATGATTCTCTAGGGCCTCACAGCAGTAAGGTTGGGCAAGTGATGGAGGATTCCTGCTCCACCARGTGCTGCATTTCTGTGGACAAGGGCTGGGTCCTGCTCTCTCTGATTTCCCAAACATTAAAAAAGCGGGAATAGGAAGATAAAGACAGTAAAGTCYCTGAGATTTTTAGAAACTGTAAGAAAGGGGAATGCTGAAGTACATAAAATAGCAGGAACACTTACCTTCATCTTTTTGGTCAAGCACGTGTCCTCTGGAGTTGTACCAAAGGATATACTCATATTGGCTGACGTTCACTTTACATTCAATTAAAACACTGGTGCCCTCCTTGGCTATGATATCATGGTGCGCTGGAGAGTTTCCTAAAGCTTGAAATACTGGATGAAGCGACGTATTGACGGACCCTGAAACACCTGTCCTGTCCAAAACTACATCTTCCACTGTAAATCCAATTGCAAGACCAAGGCTAGCAGTCAAAATCAACAGACAGCAGCTGAGCTTCATGGAAGGCTAGAAAAGATCTGTTTTTCATTTAAGTTGACGAAGGAGCTCATATGATATTAAATCGTCTGTGCTATTCTAGGAGAGGAGCTTCTTGATACATTCAATGAAAATTCAAAGAAAATGTCTTGGATCCAAATGCACTTTCAAGATCATCAATATTAAGCATGGAAATCCAACTGAAAAAAAAAAGAATTGAGTTTATTAATGACAGCAAGCTTATGGCATATTCAAATTTCATCTCCAATAAACAGATTTCGATTAGCATAATATAAACTGTCAGATGAGAGCTTCCAAATCAGAGCTTTGCTCGGAGCATAGTAATGAAATGAGGGTAAGAAGGCATTAGCACAAGCCTCAGTGCTCTAGACATTCATCTTCCCATCCAAAACAAATCATCTCAGGAGCAACAACCACTAATGGAAAAAGGTTCGTTAGAAAAGAACAGATGGTTCCACTACTCAAAACTCAAATACCTCTAGTTGGAAAGTGAATTTTGCATTTCTTAAGTGAGTCTAAGTGTTTTCATAACACGGGAAGAAAAGCAAGAAGGGATATAACTTCTGCTACCTGCCCTACCAATACCAAAGAAATTTTAAGTCTTGCTTTTCCAGCACTAGTCCTTCATCATAGAAAAAATAAAGCACTCATGCACCTAATTTTTTAGTATTTATATATATATATATATATATATTATTTTAAGGCAAAATCAGTGTTAGATGTCTAAGTAATATATAGTGTACTTATAGCTATTTACGTTAGGAAACTTCTATTGGCAGTTATCTACAAATACAAAGGGGAAGATCCCTTTTCTGAGCACCAGGACCTTGCTGTCTGATTTTGACATTAGAGATTTTAAGACATTAAGATAAAGCCCTTATTTGGGTGTTCTTTGCACAAGGATTTCTTTGTTCTAAACTCCAGGCTAAAACCAACTTGTAAGCAGAATGAGATGACACCCATAACAGAAATGGTGTAATCAATTTTCCTGGAAGCCTGACTCAACAAAACTTCTAATCCAATATGCATTCCCTGCAGTTATGATTCCCCAGAGCCGTGAAAAACAATTTACAAAGTATAGAAGCCACAGTCTAAAACAGTTATTTTAAAGTGTATTTTACTTCACTCAATTGACTATGTGACTTCAAATTTACCAGCTTTTCTTCTACCAATAACGAATGCTAGAGAAGCTGCATTTCATATTGCATAATACAAAAGAACAATTTTTGCTAATAAAAATGCAGGCACTTCTTCCAAAATCACTAGTTAACACTGCCTAAAGCAAAGATATATTTACTAAGAATTTACTAGATATTTACTAGAAATTACTAAGAATATGACTAACTTGCACTAATATTCTTTTTAGCAGAGGCAAATTAAGCCCATTCAGGAACGGGAAAATTTGCTGAAAACACACTAACCAGACCACAAATTTATTCAGTTAACAATAATTTGTCCAAGGACAAAGTTAGATCCCAAATCTGACATCTGAAAAAGAAAGCACATCTGATCCATTTTTGTTGCAGCTACTGCCAAAATCGGTTTAACGAAGAATGGAAGGAATCCAGTGCATCCAATGTCCAGCTTTCCTTCAAGCTTCACTAACCAACTCACCCACCAAAACCTCCAAGGAGAATTTGAAAACAGGCCTGATTTTATTGTTGTTGTTGTTGTGCACAACAATCCCTTCATCCTTTTCCCCCCTACTCTTGCTTCTTGTCTTTTCCTTTAAGATGAGCTCAGCACAGAGCAGCACCCAGCGCATCGCTATGTTCAACAGGCTGCTCTCCCTTGTCTAAATGATTAAAAGAATAATAAAGTCTCCCACATCYGTGTTCTCCCCAATACCTGCTCTCTCCAATACTTTTGGGACAGGGGTTACCCAGTCCTGCAGCCTCTAGGAAGGAGCATCCCAGCCTCACTGGGTGCCTAACTCTGAAAACACAGCATTAGTTTTGCTGCTATGCAGCAATTATTATTTTGCTTGCAGAACAAACTTTTAYTTAAAAATTATTTTATTGACCTCTTGCATTTTTGTAAGAAATTCATGATTGTTGGCAACAGCTTGGCTTTTCTTTGCAACCTTCTGTGCATCCCTTARAAACAGCCTGCGCACTACTGGTGGTTTGTAGGTCATCACTCGAAAACGCAGATATTTGGACAACTGGAGTTGCCATTTGAGCAGCTCTCAGGGCTTGTGCGACTGAGATGCTGCAATTCAACAGAAACCACTCAAAACCCAACTGTCTTGAGCTATAAGTGCAGCTACACTCCAGTTTGTATGCAGTCACGGCTTGATTTTACAGCGCTCAATGCAGTTATAACATGATAGCTCTAAAGTAAAGACAAATGATAACGTGATAGCTCTAAAGTGAAGACAAATGGTCATCCCCGTTATTGAGTCAAACACACAGAATGATTTCCAATCCTCCAAAACACCARCTTCCTAACTAATAACCTTTTAGAGTTACGAGAATAACTCCAGTACCTCTTGTGCTTTGTTTGTGTTATTTTTGTCACTCTAAATTGTTAAATTTAAATTATTAGATTTGGAAGTGTCTGTGATGCATCATCCTAAATGACATTAGRAATCCCAGTCAATTATTTAATGCGAGAAATATCGAGCGGCGTTTTCCCTCATAACAATAAGATAATTATCTCCAGTAATTGCACCTACTCTTCACTGTATCCGCACCAAGTGCATAGYGTATAAAACACTGGCAGCGACGGGTCATTGCGTTTCACTATTAAACTCTTCAAGATCTCATTTATTATAAACTGTTTGTCACATTTTGCTTGCGGAAAGCCCATTACTGTTAGGCAGACAACAATCTCTCCCTGCAGAATGCTGGAAAAAAATAACGATCAGCAAAACACACATTATTCAGGCGTCACGCTATGCAGAGCAGCTGCTGGAGCGGACGGAGCACCCAGCAGGATAAACCCCGAGCAGCGCCAGCACCGCAGATTCTTCAAGAGTATTAAATTCGAGGAAGAATTCGAGCAGAGCAGAATTTTACAGCTCGACCTGGGGCGAGCTCGATGCACTTAGGCTTTGCTAAACCCTAAGTCTTAAGGACAAATAGTGGCGGAAGGGGAGAAATCCGCCCTGCRTGCGCTGCCGTGAGCGACCCTTGGCTCTCGGCCTGACGTTTGACGCGAGGCGCTGACCGTTACCGGCCGCGGCGGGGCCGGGCCCGGCAGGCCGCGGCCTCCACCGACACCTCAGCCCGCAGGGGCGCGAGGCCTAAGGCGGGACGTGGGCCCGGCCCGACCGGGGTCCCGCCGCCCCGGCCCCCCTCCCGTCACGTCACGCGACGTGACGTCATGCGGGCGTGACGTCACACCAGCCCCCTGCTAAGGCCGCCCGCGGGGCGCCGCGCCGCTCCCGCCTTACGCCGCCTCGGTGACGCCACCAAATCCAGGATGGCGTCATCGCAGTGACGTCAGAGCGCCCCGTCCTCCGCCGCCGCCGCCGCCGCCGGTGCCGCCGCCCGCGGAACCCACGTACCGCCGTCGCCGGCCGCTGCCGCCACCCGGACGTGATTGCGCTCCTCGCGGCCCTTCCGGCGCCGCGCCGCCGCTTCCGGGGTCAGCGGGCCGGGGCCGCTCTGCGCCGCGCCTCGATGGTGCGGCCCGCCGCGGGGGGCGGGGAGGCCGGGCGGCCCCTGCGGGGGGCGGGGGAGACCCCGTGGGGCCGCGAGCCCGGGGCGGGGCTGTCGGGGGGAGCAGCGCGGCCGGCGGGGGGGGGGGGCTCCGCAGGCCGGCCGGTCCCCAAAGGTGCTCGGGGGGTCCCCGGTATCCGCCCCGCTCCCCACGAACCCCGCGGGGCCCCCGCGGAGCCGCCCCTGCCCGGTGCAGAGACCGGCCGCTCGCCGCCTCCCCACCGGCCTCCCGATCCCGTCCCTGTGGGAATGGGGCGCCCGGGAGGGCGATGTTCCCGCACCCCGGCGTTCCCGCACCCCGGCGTTCCCGCACCCCGGCGTTCCCGTTCCCGGCCGCTTGCTTTGGCCGCTGCTGCGAACGCGCGGGGAGCAAACCCTGGCTTAAACTGTCCGGAGGCCTTTGGGACCTTCGCTTTGCTTTTCGGGATTATCGCTCCGTTTTTACGCCTGTGAGGCTGTGCTGGTTAGATAAAGTGTCCCGTTTCTGTGGGACTTTGCACTTCCAAGTAGGACTCTTAAAGCTGGGTATAATTCAGTGTACAAAATCCCTTAAAATGTGGCCTGTTTATGCAGGAATGGGGAATCTGAGGYTCAAGAAGAAGAGACTTCTGTCTTATTGTGTCTTGTTTTCTCTTGTGTAAAACACAGGTAATTATGCGTCTGAACTAACGTCAAGGAGTAGCAGGGAGTGATTATTTTGTCTGCTTTCTGTGAATGTTGTAGTCATGTCTGAAAAAGCCAGCAGTGGAAATCTGAAGGAGGAAGCCTCTCATGACGGTGAAAATGGGCAGAAACCCGAGGAACTTGGTGCCACGGAGAGCAGTGAGCAGGGAGAGCAAGAGCGCGAACCTGCGCCCATGACTCGGAGAAGACCCGAACCCAAAGCCCCGGCCCAGCCCCCTGCCGCAGAGAAGGCGCCAGCCGAAGCTCTCAAGGTACATTTCTGTTCTCACTTTGAGCCCCATGGCTGAAACTTCACAGTTTTATGCACAGAAGAAGTCTGACTGGAAGCCTCGCTCTCCCAAAAATTCACATTAGTGCTTATTTAGGAAAAAAGAAGGAAAAACTCAGAGAAATGACCTGCYGCAGATGGCCTGTGTTCCCCTCCTCCCTTCTGTACATACATGGATGTGACTTTTCTGTTTTTCTTTATTGAAGGTTGCAGATTCTCCTGCTGCAGCTCAGACAGGATGGGGATACTGGGGAAGCTGGGGGAAATCCCTTCTCTCCACTGCCTCTGCTACAGTTGCTACCGTAGGTAAGGCTCATCCTGGGACTTAATCAATGTTTTAGCCATTCACTTCAGGTCTCCAGCTAGTGCTTTGGAGCCTGGCTCAAGACAACAGCATTTCCATTATGGAAGCAAACGTTGGGAAATGTCAAGAGAGCTATTTAAGTAATGGAGGAAATTAGTGCTAAATGTTAAAATGAGATGGAGACACGTACAGTGGAAATTACTGCTAASATTTTAAATTTTAAGGTGCTAATATTTCCGGATGGCATTTAGAA